ATCGCTCATGCACATGACAATGGACAAACGCACTTTCTGCTTTTCCAACGGCCTCGGACGGGTTAGTTGACCTAATTTTGTGTCTTTTAAGCTGTCTTCTGTCACCCGTGTGTTTTCCATATCAGTGGGTCCGTGATTCTCGTAACCTGAACTCGTCAAATTGTGCTTCAAAACATGATTTTTCAGCAATCCGTTGTAGTGACTGATTGTGGTGGGTACCGTCAGAAACAGGATTGAAAACTTATCACCTAGTTGCCACCGAGTGCACCAAATAATCAACGATGTTGGTTCTACATGCATGCATGCCATTATACAAACTGGACGAGCCCGACATCCAAGCTTGTATGCTCCTTCACCAGACAAGGTGTACTTCACCTGAGAGAGATGCCATGTAACACGGCGTTGTCTAACCCGGGCCCTCAGTTGGGTCGCACTACACGTATACACTGTTTAGCTGATCGGTTTATCGCACTGGTCGTCTGCTTGCGGCACTAACCAAAATGATCAACATGTGGGAAACAGGCAACCTGATCAACGACTTCTCCGTCTGCTTGAAGGCAATAACATGGACCGGAGTTCTGGTTTTGCTAAATGGATGGTGTTTGGACAGTCGCAGCACACTATGCGCGAGGAACAACCTCTGAAGTCGCTGACGTTTAATTAAAGCGGTCGAGACCTATCGACTCAGTATGCAGTGAGGCTGGCTCAGTTTGTAATTTTATTGAGCATCGAAGATAGTTACATCGCTTCCCGTCGTGTTGACTAAGAGCTCTGCTGCACTTTGACATTAACCTACAGTGGTACGCCGGGGGGGATACCACACTGACATATCGCCAGATCGAAGCACACGATGGATTGTGACTTTGAGGTGCACCATATCTGCTGCGACAAGTTTAGAGCAGATCTTCATAGATGAGGTCATAATACCCACACGGGAAACTGCCGCTTAAATCCTCGTGCGTTTATGGTCGATTTGTCTGTGTGCATCGTTTGTTGAAAGGTTTAGAGTGCGATCGCCCCTCGACCCGATCGATTCATACGTCAGTCAACTTGAACAATGTAGGTAGTCGAGGTGTATAAAATGCTTTCTGGCATTGGACCACATGGTAACCATTGGAAGACATCCTCACTTTTAAACCCTGGTGTATTCACAGCACCTCCTTCGTTAAAATCCTTCAGACTCTCATGCTCTAGGTGCCTGACCCACCGTCGCTTTTTTTCAAAGAAACTCAGTAAGCATAAGACTGTGCACTTTATGTACAACACTTCGTTTTCTTTTCTACTTCTCCCTACTCAGATCCTCTCTTCTTTTCCAATAAGATTATTGCCTTATGCGCAACAAGCACAACCCTGTGGATACAACAATTTGCACGTGAATATCCATGAAGCCTTTCTCAGCGTATGTCGTATGACCGTGATAATTTACTTCCAGAAAGTCTTTATGAAAAGAACAAGATGATGGAGGAGTCTAGTATAACCTCCCAAAAATAGTCTGAAGCGCCTGAACAAGCAACGTCAAGCAAGCCAAGTTAGGTGGAATTTGGTTTTAAGCATGACACTTTGTGAGCATTAAGTTGGCCTCATTCCGAAGAGCCTGTTCCAGTCTCCAGTCCAAAGGTTGCTCGCCTTTTGTTCACTGTGAATTGGTACTCATTTAGCGTGCATAGCAATGTCGCAAAATCTGCTACATTGTAATGTGTGTGCTTGAGTGCTACTGTGGTCCTCGGGCTATATTGGCTGGAATTTTGTCCTTCAAGATTCAACAATGACGAGAACCGAAACAAATAGATAGAAAGATGGAGATCATATTAAGGGGTGGTCTGGAGTTCGAGTTATATTGTTCTGTCCCCTAGTTGCGCGAAGGCAGTTGAGCATTTTCTTCCGGTGATTGAAATTCCGGTATTTATTGATGAGCTCGAGATGGCTCAGTGGTTAAGGTGCGAACTTACTGACAGGAAGGTTCGTAGTTTTGGACCCGACTTCTGCTCCTCGACTTCTCCTGTCTAAGCTTGGACAACTTTACAGTACCTCAGCCCTCGTGCTTCCTTCGGAGGGGGGATGACAGCTAGGGACCGAATGGGTGCTACAGTTGGATAATTCGTTCATTCATTGATTTTGAATTGGTACTCATTTAGCGTGCATAGCAATGTCGCAAAATCTGCTACATTGTAATGTGTGTGCTTGGGTGCTCTAGTGGTCCTCGGGCTATATTGGCTGGAATTTTGTCCTTCAAGGTTCAACAATGACGAGAACAGAAACAATTAGACAGAAAGATGGAGGTCATATAAAGGGGTGGTCTGGAGTTCGAGTTGTGTTGTTCTGTCCCCTAGTTGCGCGAAGGCAGTTGAGCATTTTCTTCCGGTGATTGAAATTCCGGTATTTATTGATGAGCTCGAGATGGCTCAGTGGTTAAGGTGCGAACTTACTGACAGGAAGGTTCGTAGTTTTGGACCCGACTTCTGCTCCTCGACTTCTTCTGTCTAGGCTTGGACAACTTTACAGTATCTCAACCCTCGTGCTTCCTTCGGAGGGGGGATGACAGCTAGGCACTGAATGGGTGCTACAGTTGGACAATTCGTTCATTCATTGATTTGTTGACGCAGCATTACTGCTTTTTCCGAGGAAGAATCTTAAAGGAAAGGGATGTTGTAGGACAGCTCAGTTCGCTAGTTTAACTATCGACCATGACTGCCAGCGATTTGTCCAATGCGCTTTATGGGCCCAGCACCATTCCATACGCATCCGCTTTGCATAGGAGCATTACCAATTGAGCATCTTTGCCTTACTGGTTGAG